ATGGAATTTTCAGCGTTCATTACAATATTGCATCTAATTACCTCATAAATTTTATAAGGATTTAAAAATATAAAGCAACAACAATAAAAAAGAAAAAAGAGAAATAAAAGAAATAAAAAAGAACAGCATTGCATTCACATATTTAAACAATGCACCACAGGATATGATATATAAAATTGGTGTTTAATAGAATATGTGAGCAACAATATAATAGTAACAAAGAAAGGAGAACAAAAGCTAATGGGAACTATTTGTTAGAGTGCCGCAGTAAGCAGATCGTGTCATGCCTAACAGTTTTCTCATCACATAACAGCTGTGCCAGATAAGGTATTGTGGAGTTTTTATACTTGGTAGTGCTGGCATATAGCTTCCTATAGTTGCTTCTAGTTCTACCAGATGAAATGCAAGGAGAGAGCTGCATATGGAGAGGGTGTTCGGGGTCTGAAAATATAGAATTCGCTAGTTTCTTACATGACATTATATGCCTATCCACTATGGTGTTAACCAGTTGGTTTAACGATATCCCACTCTAAACTAGAGACTATATTATGATATAGAACAACAGCGGCAGTTAAAGGTACACCTACAGCAGGAACTCCATCAGGACCAAGGGACTGGGTAGGTTTGAGAGATTGAAGACACTTGTGGACATCATTCGTGTTAAAACATGAGAAGCAGTCATTATTTATACTATTAGATTTGGGAATCATAACATCTGCAGGGATACATATGAAGGATACTCGTGTTGCGTTCTTTCGAATTTGAAGGAACACTTCATCATCGTACGAAAACAATTCCACGTATGGTTAGCAATGTCTACCAGTGGACACGACTCCAGCAGTGAAACAGATCTGTGGATTTTATTATTAATTTGTACCAGTAGACTTTGACTGTGTTTTCTAGTAACCATCGACTTTATAAATCCCTATCGGTATTCGTATAATATGCTGTTTCACTGTTCTCTCATTCACTCGGATTTATATTCTGATATTCCGTATCCTTACTGAGCTCACTCTTAAGTCCTCTACAGGGTGACGCTTCGTTTGCATCAAAGATAATCTCTGAATACTTCACAGACTAAAAGGGAGAACCAACATTTTCTAGATGTCATTTGTAGCTCATGGTAGGCATTCTTCGGAGCACAATCTATAATTGCTGTGTAAGTCATTCTTAGAAGGCTGAGATAATCAGTATGTAGTTTAGGTGAGGGGGCATCTTTGAGAATGCCAGCTGAGATGGTATCCAACAAATGCATCAAATAGCACCTCGGACATCTTAACAGTTTACAGTTTACAACTTATTTAGGAGAGTAGACTATATGCCTGTGTTAATCCTTTCGATTTGTTACACACGGGAGGTCCAATCTCGCCTTGAATGAATCAACGGATGGCGCTGATACGACGTGTTCCGGTAGGGAGTTCCAATGGTCCACAATTCGATGCGAAAAACGGATCTCCAGACGCAGACGATTCGACCGTGGTTTTTGAATCTTGAGGTGATGTCCTCGCAATTGGTTAGTGCTAGAAGGAAGAAATAAATTAGATAAATTAGCTCCAAAATCATTTCTTAGGATACGGTATGCTAGTATTAGGTCATCCCTAAGTCGTCTGTATGACAGTGGAAATAAATCCAGTCGACTTAACCTCTCCTCATATAAGAAAGTTGAGAAACCCTTTATATTACGCCAAGAAGTAAGGTGTAGTATTGAAACAGCCCTTTATCTGACTTAGTGGTTAACAGTTGATGACGCGACCCTGAGAGTAGGACCTGTATGTATGCATCCGCAAAATCAATCATTGCAAAATCTCTTCTACCACTCATAGTACCAAATAGGTCATCTGTGACTGATGATGAATTATGGAGTTGTTGTACGGCTTCATTCAAACCTGTCAGAAAATTCGCACAAAATCACAATTACTGAGTCACCAAAATCAAAATACCTGCATCTTCCAATCAATTCAACCCAGATTGAATGCAGGACTCGCACACAAAACGATTCACACCCAAACAAGGATAATAAGACCAATGCATTTCAATTTCGAGAAACACATTTGGAGACGAAAATTCTTATAACTCGTGTTTCCACTCTCAATAGATTTGTGGTGAGAGCGGGCTGCTAGCCAAAACCGGTATATAGTATTATACGTCATTGTTTACGTCGTGAGAAAATATGAACAAAGACTGATTCAAGAACTAACCACAGTAGACTTTGCGTAGGCGGATACAGTTAGCATATAGATGATGTGACATTCAAGAAACAGCCACAAAGAGATGAAAGAAAGATCAACTGTCAGTGAGAAACAACCAATCAGAAGATTGCGTTTTTCTGCTAACATTAATCTATAATAATGTACATGAAAAGGCTATAAATATGTGTTGATTTCCTTAATAAACAATCTGCTGTCTGACTTTTGCCTTATGTTGTTACAGATTTATATTTTCAAATGACGACAGGCAGTGATTCATCATTTACAAACCAATACGCTCTATACTGCACTCAAATTCA